GGCAAGTTTAGGGTGTAGAGTTATATTACTAGCATTATTCTTACAAACAATAGTATACTGACATGATAATACTAGTACCAACACTAATGCCTCATCCGGTAGTCTCGCCAGCTGTGCTGGGTTCGGCTGGTGGTCGGCTGGCACGAAGGGCTCGAGCTCTTGTCCCTCAGCCTGGTCAGCTCTGGATTGCCCCCCCCCCCCTGCACCCTACCCTAAACCCTACAAGCGCTACACTACGGGGGCCTATAATAATTACGGCCTAAATCCCACAAAGGTTACACTACAGGGGCCTATAGTAACTACCAAACACAACTTTGGGGTGCTCCTTATTAAAACTATAGTAGAATGGGCCCCAAACCCCTCTTCTAATTATTAAGACCCCTAACGGTTGATGATAAAAATCCTGCATGACCCTAAGGACCCTAAACTATGGGAATTAATTATGGTATATTCCTTATTATGGGTAATGCAGGATTTATATCATCACCCGTAATCATGCATTAGATAGATCCGAGCCCCGGCCTCGAAATGGGTCTCCACGAAGTTGCGCAAGGCCTCGGCATTTTGCTTGTCGGGCAAATGCCGGAAGGCCTGGCAGCGTCGCATACAAGGTCCGCGGGGAAGGATATTGGGAGTTTCCGAAAATTAGGGGTACCTTATTTTAGGGTCCTTATAATAAGGATCCGAATATTTAGGGTACTATTAGGCTCCCCTATATTCGGAAACTCCCATATTGGGACCTCTGAGGTTCAGGACCAAACCGACCTCGCATGGCATTGAAAGTTGAGATATGTTCAGACCTATGCCTCTGCTAATTACCTTAGTTGCAATCCCTTATCCATCTGCGCCTCGAGAACCTCTTCTGGCTCAACACCTTGGCAGAGGGTTGGGGTCTGGATACTACGGTCGGTGGGTCTCTCCTCGGAGTGGCCGGAGCACACTCTCTCCCATGTGCTTGCAGTGTTGAGTTTTGCCTGCTCTGTTGCCAGCTTGATCCTTCCCTCAATCTTTGCCTGCCAGGTTAGAACAGACTACTCTGTGCCAACCTTGCAGTCTGCAAGCTTAAGGGAGGTGAGCTCCACATGAAGGGCAGGACCCTAGCTGTCCCGTCTCCCGCATGAGATCTTCGTGAGTCAGACCACCATTACATGGCGTTGGAACTCAATCTAGAAACCTTTATAATCATATACATACATATACATGCGACTAGCTGTTTGTTGAACCATAAACATATATATATATATATATATATATATGTGTGTTGCATTCCATTATATGTGAATGCGTTGTGTATATACACACACATACGCAATCCAGCCCTTGTCTGTGTGCTTATGCGGCGAGTTATGTATGCAAAACTGCAGTATTCTTCATGTCTTACATCTCGACTATTGGCGCTTTTGCTAGGTCTGGAGCCGAATAAACATGCCCCCTGTAACCTAAGCCGTTAAGCCTCAAACTGTCAACCCTAAATCGCCACCTTTACCCCTAAAGCGTCCCAACCTTAAGCCTTCAAGAATAGAATGTCTGGAAAGGCCACCCGCCCGATGAGGCCGTTGCGGAGAGGTCGATCAACGAAAGTCTTGGAGTCCTCACGTTGGTTTAGGGCATACACACTTGAGCGCTCTCTGCCTGCCTTCCTACCCCAAACCCTAAACCATTCCTGCCTTCCTGCCAGCTTTGGGTTGAGAGATACAGGATGTTACAAGGTTCAGCGCTTTTGCTGCAAAGTGCCACAGACCCTCAGGAGCGGTAGCTCCGTGGCCTTCTTCGTGGAATCCACTGCCAGCTTGTACTCCGTCATGGTTCTACAAAGAGGGATGACTATCTCGATCTCTTTCCAGGAGGCTTTACTCGAGCACCAAAATCTCAGTGTTGACAAACGAGTTTCTGACAGGGAGATGCATCTTCAACCCTCCTTGCCACGATCTTTTCTGCTGCTGGTCCTGATTCCCCACAACTATTACAAAAGAAACGGCCGCAAAGGAAGTGTCAGAGCTGTTGGACTCACAAATGCAAGTCTAACGTAGCGACCGCAAACGCGTGCTACTCCTCAATTGTCATGTCTTTGGCCTATTGGCACGGCAGCCTCGTACAGGGCATGCTTGAGCATGCAGCCGCTCAAAACCCAAGCCGAAGTCCTCAAAAAGGCGTGCTCGCTGTATCGTATCCAGCAGCTCACCTGCCCTAGCAACCCTACGAAAGGGTTCATGAGTGACCAGGGCTCAAGACTGTGGATCCTGTGGTGCTAAGAGTAGGAACTGGTCGCATGTGCAGTTCTTGAACCGTAGGCCCTAGACTAAGCATACTCAGGCATGTTCGCTCCACATTTCATATGTTTTCGTCGCAGACGACCAACGGGTGATTTGAGCATGCTCTTGCCGGAAGGCCTTTCAGCGATTCAAAAGGTACCATCCGAGAAGGTGACCTCAATTAGGACTTGGGGTTTGTACCCCGACTCTTCTATACCCACAGGCTCCATAGTAGTTCCTTTTGGTGTTTCATATATAGAATCCTATCAGGCCTATCCCAAAAAGGAACTACTATGGAGCCTATGGGTATAGAGGTTAGTTCTAACTTCTCCTCATGGGGTTTAGCATCCAGGAAGCCCTGGAAACAAAGAGTCAGACTCGCGTCTAATACAAAAGCCTTCAGAATGGCCTATACTCTTGTGGGGAGTTCAGTATTTGTAGTGTTAGTATAATGGGCCCCAGAACCCTACTCTAATTAGTAAGGCCCCTACAATAGACTACCGGCTATCGGCATTTTTTCTGCCACTTAGAGTTGAAGACGTGGAGTCCAATAGTCTTGACATAGGACTTCAAGCGGATTATTTCACCCAGTAATTATTTAGGCCCCTATATTATCCAAACTCCATTTCAAAGGCTGGGCCCCCCTTGCCTTCGCAAAAGACGCTGCAGGCCCTCCGCACTGGCTCAGGCAGGGAAGGGGCGACAGCCTGGAGCTCTAAAACATCCCAGGGTTGACAGGGTCAGGAGTAGGGTTTAGGGTTGAGGATTGCGGTTTAAGGCTAGGGTTCAGGGTTTTGGAGCAGAGGGAACTTTGGTGTTTGAGGTTCAGTTGAAGCCTGCATAATGTAGACATCTGACAAATAAACCCCCGGCCCGTTCTTTACAGGCCCTACAGTCAAAATAAGCTCTCTGTTATCATGCTGGCGAAGGGAGAAGGTTTGTTAATCAGTAGTCTGCACTAGGACTCAATTCTTTAAGGGTTGGGGTTCACGGCTCATCTGCGGCTTCATGCTCCATATTTCAATCGGGGCCCAACTGGAAGCTTGTAATTGCAATAGGGTGCTATGCATCTCTATAAAGAGTTCAAAGGTTTCACATAGGGGCCTCAATAATTCGAAATGAGTTTTGGGGTCCAATATCTGCAGTAAGGAACCCCACAAGAAATAATATAGGTAACTGCTCAGAACCCCCAATGTAACGTAGGGGCCTGGGGACTTGGCAGAGCGAGGCTTGATTCTAGAGGTGTTGGACCGCCCGGTTGGTGGCACGGCGACAAGAGTTGACAAAGGGCGCCACACTTATATCAGCTCTTCAAATCAGCTGATATGTTTTTGACATCTTTGCAATATACTAACTAATATGAAATCAAACCGATATTACAACACCGATCAATCGATTTCGTCAATATCGAACTGACATCTGAATACTGGGTTTGAGATTTGCACGTAGGATTCGCAGATTTAGAATCGTTCCGGATTGTGGCTGCAGGGAAAAATTCAAAAAACATTGTCATATTGGAGGTGGATGAGCCCAATGGAAATGGGAGGAGATTGGCTAGGACGCCACTTGATCTGGACGACTTATTCACGAAGACTGCTTGATGCGACTGCGGGATTGTTCTACCCTTTTTGGCTGCTTCGCGACTGTAGTCCGCCACACTACTATATATAGGGGCCTTGATAATTAGAACAGGGTTTTGGGGCCCAGTATGCTATAACTACCTAGGGAGCTCGTCCTCCGCCGTGATGAGGCGCTTGACCGATCTTGAGATCCAAACCCCGAAAACCCTAAACTGCTGGGCTTTCGGGTTTACGGTTTAGGAATTACGGGAAACCCTGAAACCCGGAGCCTAGCCATGCCTAACCCCGAAAACCCTGAAGCTTGCATCACTTCGACAGGCAAACAACATCCTCAGCCGCCAGCCCTTCCGGGCACAAACATAGCCATCAGGTGCAGTGCGCAAGGCGCGAGAAAGCGCATGGCGCAGCAAATTTTGGAGGTGGTATCGTCGGGATTGTGAGGTTTCGGGCTCATGTTTTTATGTAGAGAGTAGGGTTAGGGTGTGCTGTGCAAGTGCCTAGATCTTAGACTGATAGACTGTGGTTGCAGGATCCTCAACCCAAGGCAACCCCCAACCTTCAGGAACATGCACACCATGCACAGACTTTCTGAGACTCTCTCCTGCGTCGACTTCAGCATTTAATACGCCACTTGGCTGCTTCGTCGATGAGCCTCAAGCTGTGTAGGGTCTTATTAGGTCTTGAAACCTGATCAATCATGTACGGCTTGGGGTACAGACTCCGGGGCTGCTTGCGAAGCTCCGGCCCTGAAGTATACAGGAAACAAGAGGAATGCCTTCTGCTAGTATGCAGATTTATGTGTACTAAATAGCCAGCCTGGCATCTTAGAGCTCCCGAGTGTGAGCTGCGAGACTCACACCATCAGTACATCAAGCACATAGTGTACCATGATGCCTATCGTCCGGCAACAACTTACTAAAGTCTACCTAGAAGATTGAAGATGTTGAGCGAGTCGCCCTCACACAAGACTGAGAAGGGTCGAACATCACTTGCTAACCGTGTTTATGCCGCCACGTCTTCTTCTACACTTCTTCTACTATGCCACTTATTATGCTGCTACGACGATGATGATGATGATGATGGCAATCTACTGTTGCCAAGCTCAGACACAGGTAGTATTGCTGTGCCCCATGCCCTCCCCTGCTCCGCTAAGCGTGGCGGCGCTGACGTAGCCGCAAGAAGAGACAGGACGTGGTGTAGGAGTGCAGGTACGTCCTGCTCACTTTGGTGAGACTGGGTATCTTCCGAGCGCTTAGCCTGCCGTAGCAAATGAAAACCACATGCAGCGACTCTGTCCGCAGACCAACTGGCCCAAACTCGCCGCCTGCGAAGAAACCGACCTTGTTGCTTTGGGTCCAGGCTCGTGCTTCCGAGCTTTGCAGAACTAGCGATAGGTTGGGTGGCACTTGGAAACTCATAAACTTGGATGTCACTCCCGAATGATCATCCAGCCACCTGACTGCTCATGAGCAAAATCCATCACTATCTATACAACGCATCTAACATGTTAACGACTGCTTGGGGATACTTGTGAGGCAATGAAGGACTGCGTCCATCAATCGTATGACTAGTGCTTCAGCGACAAGCCTGATGCACGTCTGGTCAGGTGCCCCGGTTATCATACATATAATACATGATATATATATATATATATAACATAGTATAATATAGTGTAATATGATATAACAATATACAATGTGATATAATATGATATATATATAACATATATATATATATATATATATATATATAGTATGTACATTGTATGTGCAATCGTCTCGATGCACTCGCTGCATCTGAGATTCGGACCGCAGGGACATCGCGACCCCAAACCTCGCGAAGAATGGCGCCTTGGAGTGCCAGCACGGCAATGCAACTAGAGGTCATGCAACAAGTAGCATCTGTATGTGTATATTCACGTAGCACTCAATGCTGCTTCTGCACCTACCATTGGCCTTCAACGTGGCTCTTGATTGGTAGACTCTGCGGACGTCCTGATCTGTAGATCCCCCTGAGGCTCCGGCTCTCTACACCCTCCTCCTGGTAGAAGCTGACACCCCGAGCGCCGCAAAAGACCAAGACCTGGCTCAGGTACCAAGAGCACAAACCTGTCGAATCTTTTAATCTGTCTGCCTGTCTATCTACCTGTATATATAATATATGTATATGTATGTTATTTATATCTGTGCTGATATGTCGTGTATATACAAAAGCAAACAATAGCATGTTTCGATGATGATGATGATATATATATATATATATACACATGTACACGTACATACATCTATATACATATATATATATATATATATACATATATATATATATATATATATATATATATATATATATATATATATATATATATATATATATATATATATATATATATATGCATCTACATATACGTATACATATACATGCATGTACATGCACAATTACATATAAATGTACATATATGTGTACATGTACATATACTTATACAGATATGTCGATACATACCTATGTATGTATGTATATATGTATGTGATGCTCCCTATGACAGCAGGTGCGGGTAGCTGAGAGAAAGCCGTTGCTCCTGAAAACAATTATCGAACAGCTCTTCAATGACCAGGGTCAGCGGCCAGGACTACGGCTAATTTGTTGTACTATTTCATGTTATGTTGCATTGTATTGTAGTATGCTATGCTGTACATATTGTAGAGTAGCATAGCATAGTATAGCATACTATATCAGATCATGTTGCAACACACGAAAACCATTACAAACGACCTCTGAATATCTTGCAGCGCTGACCTCGTCGGCCCTAGGGCTACGAAATCCTGTATCACCTTAATTAGAGGATGATGTATTACTCCTCCACCCACACGACAGGAGCTGCAAAAGCCTATGAAGGATAAGAGCGACACAAGACGCGACAGGAGTGGAATTCCGAAAGCCCAAAGCGCTAAAACCCTAATCCACTAAACCCTAAGGCATCCTAAAGCCCTACAGCCCTAAACCCCAAAGCCCTAAACCCTCGACAATAAACCCTAAGGCTGAGATCCAGGCTGCAGCATCAGGAGGACGCCCCTCGTGTAGTGCCATGTCCTCAGCTGCGCGGTCTGTGAGGGCTTCCCTCGGTTTAGGGTGTATATGGGTTCTTTGGGGGACAAAGCTGTCAAAAATGGATGCAGTAATATGGGGTTTAGGGTGTATATGGGTTCTTTAGGGGACAAAGTCTAAGATGGCTGCAGTAATATGGGTGTATACGGAGGATTTCTAGTCACGTCACACTTGCCATCATTTTCTTTCACGGCTTCTGGGCGTTCTGAAAGGATTTGCGGTTTTAGGGTTTGGGGTTCAGGAAGATCTTAATAGTATTAGTAAGAACCGTGGTAATAATGATGACAATAGCAATGAAACTAATAAGGTTAAAACTCCCAAGATGAACTTTCAGGCCGGATACAAGGTCTGGGGCTTTCAGAATCGGGCGCAGGATGTGAGGTTCGGGGCGGAAGTGGCGGCCAGCCTTGAGCGTATAGGTGGAAAAATATGTCGAGGAGATGTGTCGGGCTGTACCCCCAAACCTGCTCGACCCTCACTGCGGTGACAAAGTGTGAAAAAAATATATGCACACACACATCATTACAGTGGATAAAGGCTGTTTCAATCTATTCACATGTGCTGACGCTGGTCTACGTGATGCATGCTGTGCAGAAGTTTGCTACAAGTAGTACCACCATTGACGTCGTCGTAGAAACATACTATAGGGGCCTTAAGTAGCTCTAGTAGAGCTTTGGGGTATATGCTAGTGTCAGTATAGTGAAGAATACTTAAGTGGGCCATGTAAGCTATATGGGTGGTTGTCAAAGTTACGGACCCTTTTTGGGTCCTTAGTATAATACGGCAACTAATACGTAGGGTACCCAAAAAGGACCTTAATTTCGACAACCACCCATACCCTAAGGCTCAAAATGGCCCAAAAGCCTTAGATAATATGGACTTTAGGCCCAAAAGCCTTAAAATTTGAGTCCTTAGAGCCTTAGGGATATACATTCACTCGAATACAAAGATGCTACTTGCACGCTCTGAGCCTTCGTGATGCGGGGGCATCGGAACTTGGAGCTGGGATCTGCATATGGAAGTTTCCGAAAAGTAGGGGTACCTTATTTTGGGGTCCTTATAGTAAGGATCCTATTACTTTGGGTACTATATTGGGGTCCCCTATTTTCGGAAACCCCCATATAATGAACCTAAAAAGTCTGTAGCCCTGGTTTAAGCATGAGAGAAGGCTTCAGGCTAAGGGCGTGGTATGCGGCTCGGGCTTTGCAAGATCTTGAAACCCTAACTCCAAATTCAAACTTGCGGGAGTCAGTGAACTGCTCCGATCAAATTTGCCACACAGCCCCAAAATTTGCAGGTTCGTGCCCCATTTCGAGTATGCCTCCGCGAAAACTACAATCTTTGATATTTTTGTGTTACTATCAGTCTCCCCAGACAAATCCTATAAGCCCAAAAGAAAATCCGAAGGAGACTGTGCCAGACATTCTCAAACCCCTGCGCACCTCAACCTTTAATCCCTACGACCCCGAACCTAAACCCAGACCCTAGACCCTAGACCCTAATATGGGTTATAACTAGAGTTATCCTACTTACACCCCTACATATAACTACCCATGAACCTCCAAGTAAACCTCATCCTTGTATCGGAACCCGTGAAGCTCTCGAGCCCACTACGGTCTCCGCTCTCGCGCGCAGGTCGCTAAGTGCCTCAGTGTTCAATGCAGCTTAGGCTTTAGGGTTTCAGGTTCTTTGTTGAGCTCCTTCCTATTCTTTTTTAAAGTGCAATAACCTCTTTCTCCACTGCATAGAGTCAGAAACTCGCTCAAGATTGAGCGTACACTACGATGAAGGCACTCTCACTTATCGCCTCTTGTACTCAGACTCCTTCCTCTAGGGCTTACGGTTTATGGGGTCATTGGTTCTAGGGTACCTGAAAAACCAAAAAACCCAGTACTACATCTAACGGAATACCCCGGATGATATGGTGCGGGATCACTGCTTGTTTCTATCATCAGTTTTAGGGAATTATTAGGGGCTACATCGAGGATACCTCTTCTTATGACCTTCATTAGGGGACTGATAACTCCACTCATACTACCCGTAACTACCCATGAACCCGAAGTCTGGATGCAGTCTCATCGAACTTTCCTCAAAATGCACACTGTTACAAGCATGAGCATGACAATGATGGTGACGCTGGTGCTGGCAATAATAATCGTCCTTCCGGCCAGTGATGACGACCACCACCCCCACGACCATTACTGCATGAGAAACCATTAAAATCATCATCGCGAATCCCTGGTCCCCAGCATGACCAGCGCCATGCTGGCACCCTCCAAAAAATCCACCACCAGCAATGCCATCATGATCATCATTCTCGTCCTAATCGTCATCATCATCATCATCATCATCAAAACCACCACATCAGCCTTAATCATCATCATCATCATCATCATAGTCAGCATCATTGTCATCATCATCATCATGATCATCACCCTCATACTGTCTTCATCCTCATCCTCATGTTCATCGCCATCATCACCATCACCACCATCACCATCACCACCATCAACATCACCATCATCATCACAAAGAACAAATTTCTCGGAACAGGCTGCCACACGCAGCTGCCAGATCCCAAATTCTACCAAACACCAGGCTGCTCTTTTTGATTCGGACTTCCCACGCGGAGCCAGGGGCTATTGAGTCGGGGAGCAGATGGAATTGCCTACCGACGAACGCCTTTTGTTGTGATTTCTGGTTGGCGAGGGCTCTCGCAGGCTCTTGTTCTGGTGGCATACAATACAAAGGGCCATGCAAACAGTTTTTGCACTCTCCAAGCTGTGACACCACAAAGCTTCATCTGGCGACTGATGAATATGGCTTGTACTACGATCATCGCGCAGCGGTGGCATGATTCCTGTGCTATCGTTCTTGCTACTACGATGGCGTTTTTGCTATGATTAATTTTGACGTGCATGTCGGCGTCAGTTCCCCCTGCTCGCAATCGATATCTGGGCCTTGTTGCCCAGTCTGCCACAGTGTCAGTAGATCTCAAAGGACTGACAGCTCTCTGCCTTCCAGGAAAGGAAGGATGCCCTAAACCAGGCAAAAATCAGACTTCAAGCTTCGCGATCCCTGCAGCATTAGTGCATTTTGGGGATGCATTCCTCAAAGGAACACCTCGAATTGTGGTGTTGAGGTAAGTGCACTCTCGCCATTCGGCGAGGTCTCCTCATCATGTTCTGTCTTCGTGCAGTCTACGAATTAGGGCAGCAGACATCCGCGTCTACGAAAACAGGGAAAGTCCTCAGGTGGTAGTCCTTGTCGATAGTACCCACCAAGAAGCCCTGCTCTTTGCCGTCGCAGCTCCAACCACCCCCGCCTCCGACCAGCCAGTCATGCTTGCCTGGCACGCAATGCCCTACAGTGTGGAAGCTGATAGCTCGCAAAATCTCACAGGATTGGCAACCCCCTGAACTGATCCCACGGGCCTGTTCTGAAGGTGCTCCACTGATCGGTGTTGTGGCGATGCCCAGCGAAGTAGGCGGTCTCTTTGCTTTGGTCACGGAGAAGGTCCTGACATTGTGGCGCAGTCGGCGCAGTTTTTCGAAATGTCTCGCCTCCCATGCCGTCAAGTATCCCTCTCAGGACATCCATATCACATTGACCTAAGAAATTTTACTGCCTGGCTTCAGACAATGACGGACCTAGGACTCTCTTGAGGGGCTCGAGGGGGCCGGGTGTGTTTAGCTTGAAGCAAGGGCTTCGAAGATTTTGACTCCACGCATTGGCCAGCTGACCCCACGCTACCCTCAACTGTCGGCCTGAACCAGAAACCCCCTAAAACCCTATGCTACAACCCAGACCTGTAAACTCGCTCGACCCTGAACTCCAAAAACACAGACAGCTCTACGAAGCTTTACCAAACTAAGGGTCTTGAAGAGTCACGAGACAAACTGGGCTCTGCACTGCCGCCGCAATTCCTTGACCTGTGATCCCAACCCACAACTGCACTAATAACCCCGAACCATGCGTCGATGCATCTGCCCTAAGCCCTAAACCCTTAACGCCCCTAAACCCCCCCAAACCCTAAACCCTAAACCGCCTAACCTTAAACCCTGTGCAGGTCCAGAAAGTCTTGTCTGGCATGAAAGTAGTCCGTGGGGTAGTGGGAGAAGATCAGAAGGTTCCGCGCCGTTGAGTTGCTTTTGCGGTCGAAGACCTCAGAGGCATCAATTTTAGCAATCAGAGTAGTAACAGTATGAATACGAAAAATTTAAGCATGAGCAATAGTAAACGGCAATAACAGTATTAGTTTCAGTTTTGTAATATCATTCCCATTCGTATTGTATTATTGCTAGTCTTAGCTACCGTATTAGTATACTCACTATCATGTAAGTAGTAGTATCAACCCAGAAGGTCCATTGGGTAAGAACCCGAAGCCTGAGACAGCAAAGGCCCTAAACCCTCAAGAAGCTTGTGCGCCAGCCCATTTTAGGAGCCTTAATAACTAGAATAGGGTTTTGGGGGCCCATTATAGTATGCTATAGATATTTAATCAGGAACCCCCAAAATAGTATAGCTCTGCTAGGGCCAGAGACTCCAACACTGCTTAGTTAAGGACACATACCTTAAATTACAAGCAGATCCTTCATATGCTGTAAGCTACATTCCTTAATTAATTACAGGGTTTGGGAGTCTCTGAGGGGTTTAGGGTGGGCGCCTGTTTGTAGCGATAATAGCCCAAAAGCCCTAAACCCTACACTGAAATCAGGGTATGTAGGGCGCAAAAACGCTCAACAGCCATAACCCCCAAACCGAAAACTAGGTCCCTTGTACGGTCTTTAGATTCTGGAAAATGTGGGACCCGCGGCCACAGGGACTATAATTTGGGAAACACCCATATGCTGCGGGAATGGGCAATACTTGGGCCTCTGCAAAAGCCTTAAGACTTCAAGCCTGCACCCAAAACAAGTCCGCAATGTATTATAAGTATGCAAGGCTTGAAGCCGCCAGCCCCAAACCCTGTATTAGGGTTTATAGGGCTGATCCTAAACCCTAAACCCTTTCTGCGAGGAGCCTCAATAGCCATACTTAAGCGCCCACCTTTGCCGCGCAAGGTCCGTTGTGAGGACAACTGCAGATACCCATAAACTATGAGACCATTCTGCTTGCTCGACTCTACAGTATGTGCCTTTCCTCAACCCGAAACCCTTGCTCGACAAAACCCTTGATAAAGCCACTGTAAAACCCAACAAGCTCCCGATGGAACCAATAGAGTTACAAATGGCAAACTTATAAACCTTCGATACGTGTACATTATTATGTCCATATAACACCCTTATGAAACCTGTATAACAACATGTCATGTCGCATTCCAATATTCCCAAACCCTAACTCCCTAAACCCCGAACCCCAAACCCTACTAAACCTAAACCGCTCAACCCCACATGCCAAACCCTAAACCCCAAACCCTAATCCCAAGTAAAGTCGCGAGGTTGAAGGCCTGTTCAGCTCTCCGCTCGGCTGCTTCCACGCAGCGCTCGGGGCAGGCAGAATACTTGCAGTCCTGTCACTGGAGCGGGTGTAGGGGTTCAGAGGATATAGGAGCCGAATGACTATACTATAATTACTCTACCCCTGAGCCTGGAGCTTATGGTAGGGTTCAGGGGTTCAGAATTTGGGATATTGAGGGTAGAATATATGAGCCTGAAAACCCACATGACAATGATCCTATACGGTACCAACTGTCCCGATTATTCAGACCTTTATAGAGTTTCTTTGTGTTGTGTTGGTTTAGAGTTTAGGGCTTGGTTGGATTGCAACTGCACTTGAAGTCAGAAGGCTTGAAGCGCTGGGGGTTTTTGATTCGGGCTGAAGTCGAGTGAACTTCATGTTGAGGGTTTGGGGGCTCATTCCGGGTGATAGGTTTCGGGTTGGCAACGGGTTAGAGATTTATAGGGTTCACGGTATTCTAATCATGAGTCTCCTATAGACCCCAGAACCCCACGCCAGAAGGGCCAGATATCTCTGGCGATTGGTTTGGGGGACACCAGCAAGCAAGGACCCGGATGTTGGGGACATTTTGTATGATGACAGTGTGAGCGTTACATGTGCAAATCGTTCGGGTAGGATACGACAAATCTCAGTGCTGCAAAGCATATACCACTTTCCTTCTCAATTTGTCCAGCTTTTCTTGTGTCTCTCGTCCAGTGTGTTCTAGAGCACGCATGTAAACTTTTTACAAGACATCCTGCATCCCTCACGGCATCTTTGCCAAGCCGCTGTCAAGAAGAGGTCTTCATCCTTGGCGCTTGCATTCCAGCCATCCATATACCTCAGCTTGTGAGCGTGTGTTGCTTGAGTGATTTTTCTGTCTGACCCCAAAACACTTGATTCAAGCAAGACGTGTCAGCTTCCACTCACGAACTGGTCGAAAATTTCAAGGAAATGCATCTTCGACCCTCTTCGCCACGATCTTTTCTGCTGCTGGTCCTCATTCCCAACGTGTGGGTTCACAATTTTGTCCGTGTTGCTGATGGCACCAAGTCATGTGCTTGGCACTTTGTGCAGCAGTTGCAGGCCCGACGCACCGCTTTAGCCACGCGGCGGGACTGTCTGAACTGGCCGGTGCATTGCACTCCATGCTAAAACACCGCCGGCCACACAAAACTGGCTCGAGTAATCGAACTGTGCATTATCAG